TTAGAGATTTGATTGTCTAGTTGCTCACTTTGTAGATATGAAAAAGGAGATACCACAAGATGGCACAATTTGCTTTCAGGTCACAGCTAGTTTAAGGCTGAATCAAGACGTCATTTCAGGCTACCTCATTCTCCTTCCTCCACTCGATGCCCTTTCTGCTTTTTTCTTCTCCTTCTTAACACAGCTTTGGAACCAGACAAGCTTTCATTTGGATCTCAGTTCCACCGCGTATACTAGTCACCTTCAACAAATTATTTATTTACCTTCTGCAATCCTCAATGTCCTTACAGGTTAACTAAGATATTAATACACAGTTAAAGGGTTATTGGGAAGATTGAATAAAAAATGGAACAACAACAATAAATCCCATAGTTAACATCATGTTTAATATTTAATAAAACTTTCCCACTAAGGTCAAGTATACAAGGCAAGGATGTCCCCTCTCACCACTTTCATTGAAGCTCTTGCTAATGCAAAAAAGATATAGGGCCTCCCTGGTGGCGCAAGGGGTTAAAAGCACCACACTATGAAGTAATCCTGCAGCCTCTGCAGCACAAGTTCGATCTCTGCCCAGCCAGAGAGAAACCCACATGGCAAAGCAGACCTCTCCTGCCGCGCCCGCTGCTCCCCTCAGCAGTGTATTTCAGTCAGTCTGCCTGTTCTGTTCCCCACTCTGTCTCTGGTGAATCCTCTCACCCCCCTCATCTCTGGCCTGTACCCCAGTTCTTGTATGCAAAATAAATAAATCTTTCAAAAAAAAAGACATAAATTGGGAAGGCACAGATTATGTAACCATTTATGTGGAAATATGAAATAGTCTTAAAAAAAAACCCTCCTGGGACTAATAATTCTAGTCAGATTGTAGGATACAGGTTAATACACAAAAATCAATGGCTTTCTTATATACTCAGTGAAAAGTGGGATTTGAAACTAAAAACACAGTACCATTTACTAAAAACTAAAAACACAGTACCACACCGAGAGAGAGAGAGAGAGAAGAGAGAGAGAGAGAGAGAGAGAGAGAGACTTAGGTATAAATCTAACAATATAAAAGATCTATATGGCTCTTCCCGTATGCGGCGTTAGTGATCTCTGAAAATGGTTCGCTACTCACTTGACCCAGAAAACCCTACAAAGTCATGCAAATCAAGAGGTTCAAATCTACGTGTTCATTTTAAGAACACTCGTGAAACTGCCCAGGCCATCAAGGGTATGCATATCCGAAAAGCCACCAAGTATCTGAAGGATGTTACTCTACAGAAGCAATGTGTGCCATTCCGTCGTTACAATGGTGGTGTTGGCAGGTGTGCCCAGGCCAAACAGTGGGGTTGGACGCAAGGTCGGTGGCCCAAAAAGAGTGCTGAATTTTTACTGCACATGCTTAAAAATGCAGAGAGTAATGCTGAACTTAAGGGTTTAGATGTAGATTCTCTGGTCATTGAGCACATCCAGGTGAACAAAGCCCCTAAGATGCGTCGCAGAACTTACAGAGCTCATGGTCGGATTAACCCATACATGAGCTCCCCCTGCCACATTGAGATGATCCTTACTGAAAAAGAGCAAATTGTTCCTAAACCAGAAGAGGAGGTGGCACAAAAGAAAAAGATATCGCAGAAGAAACTGAAGAAACAAAAACTTATGGCAAGGGAGTAAGTTCAACGTAAAATAAAAGGAAGCAAAAGTAAAAGCAAAACAAACAAAAAAAAGATCTATATGAGCAAAATGACAAAACTCTGATGAACAATATCAGAGAACAAAATACATGGAGAGATAGTCTGTGAATAGCAAGATTCAATATTGTCAAGATGTCAGTTCTTCCAGCTTGATCTATAGATTCAGTACAATCCCAGGCAATTATTTTATGGCTATTAATACAGTCATTCTAAAGTTTCTATGGAGAAGCAAAAGACACAATACCCAACACAATATTAAAGAACAAAGTTGGGAGACTTACACTGTCTGGCATCAAAACTTACTATAATGTGATAGTAATCAAGACAGAGTACTATTGGTGAAAGAATAGATAAATAGATCAAAGAAACAGAATATAAAACACCAAAATAGACCCCCTCAAAAAATACAGCCAACAATACATTTGACTATATTGACAAATGAGCAAAGACAATAAAATGGATCAAAGATAATCTCTTCAACAAATGATGCTGGAACAAATATTGAATATGTTCACACTGCAAAAAAATGAATCTAGACATAAACTTTTTCTTTTACAAAAACTAACTCAGAGCCTTGCCGGTGGCGCAGCGGTTGAGCGCTGGGTTGCGACGCTGCCCGCAGCCTCTGAAGCCGGTTCGATCCCCGGCTGCTCCCCGGTCACCGGAGGAGGGTCCCACATGGCGCGCAGACCTCTCCTGCCGCCCGCTGCTCCCCTCAGCAGTGTACTTCGGTCCTTCTGCCTGCTCTGTTCCCCACTCTGGCTCTGGTGAATCCTCTCACCTCCCACATCTCTGGCCTTACTCCAGTTCTTGTATGCATAAATAAATAAATCTTTAAAAATAATAAAGTATTTTAAAAGTTGAATAAAGACCTGGTTCATAAGAGTTGTTCTCTTATGAGAAGTGTTGGCAATTTTCTCATTCTTTCCACTTATATTTTTTCTTTTTTCTTCCCTCTTCAATGGGTAAGACTGGACTAATTAAATCATTAATTTCTTCAGACTTTGAATATTTTATTATGCTGTTCTCACTTTTACATGTCATCTTTTCTATTCATTTCTTCTTTTTCTCCTCCTCCCTCCCACTCCATTTCTCTTCCTTCTCTACTTATTGCTTCTCATTTTCTATCATAAACCAAGCCACGTGCACCATAAACACTGAGTTTAAATTTCCTTCAACTCCAACATGTCCTCTAGCCCTGTGATTTTTCTCATTTGTGTTTCTTTTTCCTCTTTTCTTTACATATAAGTTACTTAACTTCCCTTGAACACAGTTTCAACCTGGAAAAGGAAAAATAATAGATTGTGGTTAGCATTAAGTGAATCAAGTAAAGCTTTCAAGATGTTAACTTTGTTCTTATTTGACTGTCTCCAAGTCTGGTATAAAATATAAAACACTATAAAAAAGCTAATTATTTTCCAAATCATGGTGAAAGTTCGGGTGGAAAAAATCTGGGTTTCAGGCACGTCCCTGAATTACAATGAACTTCAGGTTCTTCATGTGTAAAATGACAATAACATACCTATCTTTCACCTAAGCTCTCCCCCCAAACCAAGGGAATTAAGACTCAAGGCACAGGACAGAGGCAGCCTCCCGGAGTATCCTGGATTCACAAAGGGGACTAAGTACAATTGTAAAAATTCAATGGGATAAAGTTTTAAAGGATGCCTGACCGACAGGAAGCATTCAATAAATGATAGCTTTTTTCTTTTTTTTTTTTTTAAGAATAGAAGTTTAGGGCCTCCCTGATGGTGCAAGGGTTAAGACGCAACCTATGAAGCTATCCGCAGCCACTGCAGCATGAGTTCTATTCCCCGCCAGCCAGGGAGCAACCCACATGGCGCAGCAGACCGCTCCTGACTCACCCGCTGATCCCTTCAGCAGTGTACTTCGGTCATTCTGCCTGTTATGTTCCCCACTCTGTCTCTGGTGAATCCTCTCACCCTCCCGCACCTCTGGCCTGTACCCCAGCTCTTGTTTGCATAAATAAATAAATCCTTAAAAAAAATAGATTTTTAGCATCAGAGATCACCTGGGTAGTTAAATCACTATTTTATTTAAGACATTTTTTATTTATGCATACGAGAACTGGGGTGTAGGCGGGGATGGGGTGGAGGACAGATGGATCTACTGAAATACACTGCTGAGGGGAGCAGCAGGACAGATCTGGTATGCCATGTGGGTTAGCACCCTGGCCCAGGAAGGCACTTGTGCTGCAGTGGCTGCTGATAGCTTCAAAGTGCTGAGACTTAACCCCTTGCACCACCAGGGAGGCCCCAAGATAGCTATTATTACTTCCTTTAACTTTTCCACTTCCTTTCCCTTTATCACTGGTGGTGCAGGGGTTAATGTTTCAGGGTTATCAAGCTATCACTCACCACTACTGCATGAGTTCATAATGAGTTCCATTCCCAGCCAGGGAGCTAATCCACAAGGCACAGGAGTCCTCTTCCATCTAGCCTGCGGCTCCCCTCATAAGTGTATTTCAGTTGATCCACCTCTTCTGCTCCCCACTGTCTCTGGTGAATCCTCTCGCCACCCCCCCCCCACTTCTGGCCTACACCCCAGTTCTTGCATGCATAAATAAAAATAAGTCTTAAGAAGGGCCTCCCCAGTGGCGCAGTGGTTGAACACTGGGAAGCGAAGCTGCCCGCAGCCTCTGCAGCGCCGGTTCGAGCCCCGGCCCCTGGCAAAGTTCCCACATGGCGCACAGATCCCTCCTGCCGCGCGATCTGCCGCCCGCTGCTCCCCTCAGCAGTGTATTTCGCTAGGCTGCCTGTTCTGTTCCCAGCTCTGGCTCTGGTGAATTCTCTCACCCTCCCCCGCTTCTGACAGTACCCAGTGCTTGTATAAATAAATAAATTAAAAAAAAAAAAGAATGAATTGCTAAAAAAAGTCTTAAGAAAAAAAAAATTAGTGGTTTAACTACCCATATGATCGCAGGAGCTAAACTTCTATTTTATTTTTCTTCCTCTTTCCTCCGACCGTTTTTCTTCTCTCTTTCCATTACAGCTTTCCTCTTGTCTCAGGCACACTGAGCAGCCCCAACCTCCAGATCTCCAGCAACTTAGAACTAAGTCAGAACGACCCCTACGTGCAAGACATCCGGGTTCGCTAGCATTTAGCGTCTGGCGCTTTTTCCACAATAAAGTTTTATTGAAACAAAAGGGGGGGGGGAAAGGGGACACCTGTCAGTCTTCCCTCTACAGCCAATCAAAAAGTAGAACGCGATGGTGTCACTTACAAGAGCGTCCCCAGTCGGAAGGCAGGGGCGGGGCATGTCCCGCCCAAAACCTGCCCTAAGAGCGGAAGTACTGGCCGGAAGTCAGCCATAGAGTTTAGTGGCCAGAGCGGCCCTGCTGGGAGGTGGCAGGAAAGGCCCGGAACAGCTGCCGGAGGTGACGGCGCTTCGGCCCCGCCCGGCGCGCTGGAAGAGGAAACTTCCAGGTTAGCTCCCCGCAGAGTCTGACCCAGGGTAGGACGGGGCGGTTGGCGGGAGCCCACGGCCCTTGGGTGGCCTCTTTAAGGAAGGGGGCGGAGCCACGTGGAAGGTTCGTGAGGGTGAGGTCACGTGGTCGAGGGCACCTGTGGGGCACCGTGGTTTGAGGGATCGTCGTCTTTGGGGTGGACACCATATGATATTTTTCCCCCTACTGCATCCGAGTGCCCTCGGGTTCAATAAGGTGCACTTGGTGGGATTTGGGATTAGGCCCGGGTGGCGAGGGTGAGAGGATGGGCGTGGCAACCCTGTCTCAGCCATTCTTCCATCAAAGTGGCCCTTCTGAGGATTCCTACATCTGAGTTCGAGAGTATTCTATCTCTGATTACCTCCTGTAAACGTGACTCAGTACCTCAGTCCAGCCCATAGCCCCTGTGTTTCCCACCCTTCTAATGGCCAGGGACCTCCAGCTTCATGTCCTCTTGCTTTGCAGCTCCAGACATCCTGAGCCCTGGTCCCCCCAACCAAGTACAGCCATGAGTGCGGAGGTGAAAGTGACAGGGCAGAATCAGGAGCAATTTTTGCTCCTGGCCAAGTCAGCCAAGGGGGCTGCACTGGCCACACTCATCCACCAAGTGCTGGAGGCCCCTGGTGTCTACGTATTTGGGGAACTTCTGGATATGCCTAATGTTAGAGAGGTGGGTTCCTACCCTGGCTAACACACGTGGAAGCTTGGGGCTAATCTTTGAATTTGAAAATGGGTGGGGAGGGCTCATTTTGCAACCCCATAACCATTCGGTTGAACAAGAATAGTGTGTGTTCAATATTTTGCAATCTGATGAACCGTAGGCAGTCTGCTGCACTGCCCGGTTCAGGAGGCAGGCCTCTCCTGCCTCAGCCTCACTCACCTCTGACAGCTGTACAGCCTAGGCAGGCACTGGGAGCTGTGGCCCCTTCTTCAAATGAACCTCATCTTGGGTGGCTTTCAGATATAAAGGATCGGTAAGACCCAGTGTTATATATATATATTTTTATATATATTTTTTTTAATAGAGGCATGTTTTATTTATTTATTTGTTTGTTTGTTTCTTTTGTTTATACATGCACTGGGTACAGTCAGAAGCGCAGGAGGGTGAGAGAATTCACCAGAGCCAGAGCGGGGAGCAGAGCAGGCAGAAGGACCGAAGTACACTGCTGAGGGGAGCAGCGGGCGGCAGGAGAGGTCTGCGCGCCATGTGGGACCCTCCTCTGGTGGCCGGGGAGCAGCCGGGGATCGAACCGGCGCCGCAGAGGCGCGGGCTGCTTCACAACCCAGCGCTCAACCGCTGCGCCACCGGGGAGGCCCTATATATATATTTTTTAAGCAAAAGAACATGTAATTTAGGATTGAAGACCTGCTTCCAGCTTATCTCAACCAGAGTAATTGCTCTTAATATCAGGTTGCCTTGATCAGGTCACTTATTTTAGGGCTCTGGTTTTCTCTTTTGAAAATGAAGGTGATGCTACCCCTCACTGTTACTGTAGAAATTAAGTGAGATTATGGAAAAGTATAAAGTCTGGTACAAATGGAAGGACTAAACATCCGAAATTGCCATGCCCTGTTCTCCCACTTTGCACCATTTGCTAATTCAGTTAAGTCAGATAAGGTGGAAAGGTATCTTTCCCCCAAACACACATGGCAGCATGCTAGGAGCAGAGTTAAGAATTTAAAGTCCAGAGTGGATGGGTTGCAGAGGCAGGTGACAGGAGCCTAAGTTCTGAGATGCTATGACAGTAGTATGTGAGCAAATATGAATTAAGTTTGTGAGCAAATATGAATTAAGCCTTTGGTTGAATCAGTGGATTTAGCCTTCTGGAATCACTGTGGTACAGAGAAACGATGGCTACTTTTTTGTTTTCTTCTGCAGTGGAATTAAGGAGAATCAAGATGTAGAAAAAGAAGCATTTAGGGCCTCCCCAGTGGTGCAGTGGTTGAGCGCTGGGTTGCGACGCTCCCTGCAGCCTCTGCAGCGCCGGTTCGATCTCCGGCTGCTCCCCGGCCACTGGAGGAGGGTCCCGCATGGCGCGCAGACCTCTCCTGCCGCCCGCTGCTCCCCTCAGCAGTGTACTTCGGTCCTTCTGCCTGCTCTGCTCCCCACTCTGGCTCTGGTGAATTCTCTCTTCTGCCTGTTCTGCTCCCTGCTCTGGCTCTGGTGAATTCTCTTACCCTCCCACGCTTCTGACTGTACCCAGTGCTTGTATAAATTTAAATAAATTAATTAATTAATTAAAGCACAAATGTTTATTTAAAAAAAAAAGCATTTAGTGGGTGCCTCTTTAGCACTGCTAGTCACCTGGGAATATCAAAAAAAGTACAAAACAATGCTTACCTTTCTACAACTTACATTCCTACTGCAGAGATAAAAGGATATGCATGTATAAATCACCTACTTAGCAAGTATTTATTGACGAGGTGCCAGAATGAGTGATAAGTAATAGAGGAGAGGAGGTCTGGGTCAACTGGACTGGGTGATGAAAGCCTCCAGATGAGGTGAGTCTGAAGCAAGGGCCACAACTTCTGGTGCCTGCCTGGGCTGTGCAACTGTCAGAGGTAAGTGAGGCTGAGGCAGGAGAGTCCTGCCTCCTGAACAGGGCAGTGCAGTAGACTGCCTACGGCTCATCAGATGCTGAGATAATGAACACACTCTAAGCACCAAACAACACACCTTGCTGTGTCTGATATGTGTGTGTCTGTTAGAGACTGAACATTCTGAATTTTTCAACTCTGAATTAGGGTAGGAATTGGTGGCCTATGGAGGATTGGAGGAACAGTGTAAACAAAGCTCTGGGGGGTGGAAATGAGTCCTGCCTATGGGGAAAGTGATCAGAGAGGGAGAGTTCCTTTTTCTGAGCTGGGAGAGGTAATATCGAGGGGAAGGATGGGGCCAGGAGTAATATCGACGGGCGGCTGGGAGGGTGGATCATGAGCCCCTTCCTGTTATCGCTTTTCTTTCCTCATGCAGCTGGCTGAGAGTGATTTCGCTTCCACGTTCCGGCTGCTCACAGTGTTTGCTTACGGGACATATGCTGACTACTTAGGTAACGGGAGGGACTGGAGCGCTGGAGTAGGGGTCATGGGAGAAGGGCAATTTCTGGAGGGACTTAGAAGAAATTCCTGGGATATCCTCATGAGAGCCCCGCATATGCAGGGTTTATGTCCAAACCTAAACTGACGTGGAAAACTCAAAAAAAAAAAAAAAAGGGAAAGGAAAGAAGCAGGGCGTCGCATAAAAGTGAAGTCAGGGTTGTCTGTCTGTCTTGTCTTTCTCTTTTTATCCCAGCTGAGGCCCGGAATCTCCCCCCACTCACGGAGGCTCAGAAAAATAAACTTCGACACTTATCGGTCGTCACTCTGGCTGCCAAAGTCAAGGTGAGTGCCAGCTCCTTGGTCCTGAGCCGGAGGAGTCTAGGATCTTTTGTAGGTCCCTTCACAAGGGCCCAAATTTATACAGGGACAGCCTTTGAGCACACTCTTGCTTCTTCCTCCCTCCACAGTCTGTGTCCAACACTATTACCTACTGCCTCTTAGGCTGAATATTATTCTCTTAGATTTTCATTTTTGGTTTCATTTTTTAATCAACTTCAGTTCTAAGTAAAACACCTCTTACCTTTTGGGTCCAGAAAACAGCCGTTCACTGTTGCTCAGCTGTTTCCCTCCTCCCTGCTGTGTAGAGTCAACATTCAGAGCTGGGAACCAAGCTCTTAGCTGCAGTGCTCGGCTTCTCTTGCTAGAATAGGAGGTTAATAGCCCCAGAGTGTCTGTTTCTTTTTGTTTAAGATTTGTTTATTTATGCCTACAAGAGCTGGGGCACAGGCCAGAGATGCAGGGGGCAGGGGTGGGGAGAGGATTCACCAAAGACAGAGTGGGGAACAGAACAGGTAGATTGACTGAAATACACTGCCGAGGGGAGCAGCGGGCGAGACAGGTCTGCTGCGCCATGTGGGTTGCTCCCCGGCCAGCCGAGGATCCAACTCATGCTGCAGAGGCTGTGATCGCTCCATAGTGCAGTGCTTAACCCCGTGCACCACCAGGGAGACCCAGTGTCTGTATTTCTTGTTAGGCTCAGTTTTTATGTTAAATATCCCCTCCGGCCCATCTGTGCTCTCCCAGTGTTAAATTGATCCTCGTCAGTTTACTCAGACTCTGTTGTGAGATGGAAAGGATTGTCTCTTTGAAAGAAGGTGGAATATAAGTGATAAACAGAATAACATTTCTGAGGTGGAGATATTTGATTTATTTGCCTTAGAACCAGTCTCTTAGAAGAACTGACTTGGGTGTGGGAGGGGAGGGGAGGCATGTGAGTCTCGGCCAGCAGGAAGGTAGGAGGAAGGAGCCTGAATGCCCTTCTCTGCTGTGAAACCTGGACCTCCCCGGCCGCAGTGTATTCCATATGCAGTGTTGCTGGAGGCCCTTGCCCTGCGGAACGTGCGGCAGCTGGAAGACCTGGTCATCGAGGCCGTGTACGCCGACGTGCTCCGTGGCTCCCTGGACCAGCGCAACCAGCGGCTGGAGGTTGACTACAGCATCGGACGGGACATCCAGCGCCAGGACCTCAGTGCCATTGCCCGGACCCTGCAGGAGTGGTGAGACCTGTGTCCTGCCGCTGTCCCTTCTCTTCTCACCCCAAGAAAGGGAGAGGTGTTTTGGAGATTTGGGATGGGGGGGAGGGGCGGCGGGTGCCGGGCTGCACTGCAGAGGTGGAATCCAAGAGGATATAGGGAAATCCTTCTTCCTTCCAAGGCTTCTGAGGGAAGAAAGGAGTTGAGGAGCGCCTGGAAAGCAAGAGGCAAGAGTTGGCATTTTTGGTGTAGTAGTCGAGGGAGGGGAAGGGGAGTGGCAGTCCTGAAGGATCCTGAGTGGGAGGCTGGTCACCTGTCTTTGGCAGGGTTTAACCCATTGGTCTGTAACCAGCACTATCCATGGGCCATCGACCTTTTTGCTTTTTCTCTGTGTTCTAACTGCTGTGTTTCTTTATTCATTAATACACCTTTTTCCCCCTCCTTAGCTTCTCTTACCCAATTTTATTTTCAGTTCCTACTCCCATCTTGCACATCACTCCAAGCACTTCTCTTACCCTACTGAGTGTCTCTAGCTCTTAGGATTTTGTTGCAGGTGGTTTCCAGGTGCCGTGCAGGGGTTCCTAACTCAGACAAGGCTTTGAATGTCAGGATCTAGGGTCCTTTCTGAATCTGTTTCTCGTGAGTCTTGGTCACAGCCCTCTTCAGCTGACACTTCTCCCCTGCTGATGCCCTCAGGTGTGTGGGCTGTGAGGTGGTACTGTCAGGCATTGAGGAGCAGGTGAGCCGTGCCAACCAGCACAAGGAACAGCAACTGGGCCTGAAGCAGCAGATTGAGAGTGAGGTGAGCAGGCTGGGGAGTAGGAAGAACCCAGACTCCTCCAGTTGGGCCAGCTGTCCTATGTGGAGGACTTTGGGCAGTGACTATAATAGACAGATAAGTGGAGCAGGGACTGTCAGGTTCTGGAGACTTCCTTGCTATCTGTCATTCCTCTCATCCTGCTAGGTCGCCAACCTTAAAAAAACCATTAAAGTTACGACAGCAGCTGCTGCTGCAGCCACATCTCAGGACCCTGAGCAACACCTGACTGAGCTGAGAGAACCAGCCCCTGGCACCAACCAGCGCCAGCCCAGCAAGAAAGCCTCAAAGGGCAAGGGGTGAGCCAGAGTGGCAGGAATCACTTGTTTCTGGGGTGCCCCACTTTTCCGTCAGAGACCTAATTGCCCTCACTCTCTCTAGTCATTTGCAGGGGGGTAGGAACAGGAGTCTTCAGGAGTTAGGGGATTCCCTGCCTACATCCTGTCTCTCTTCCCTTGCCAGGCTCCGGGGGAGCGCCAAGATTTGGTCCAAGTCGAACTGAAAGGACTGTCATTTCTTCCCTGCGGAATGTGGGGTCCATCTGCCTGCCGGCCCCTTAGGATTCTTCAGAGAGCCTTCCTGTGCCCCTGGCCAGCTGATAACCCTTGGTTCATGAACTGTCACCTCCTACGTCCTCATCTCCTCGCGCCCACCCCCAAGCAGAGATCACACCTTCTCTAGGCAGGAGTTGAGTACAAGTCATGTTGTCATAGGTACTTTTTGTTTTTCTGTGACTTTCTTATGTGTTCCATTGTCTCCCCACCACCATGCTCTCTTCCCTATTTCTTTAAGAGCCGCCATCAAGCCCTGTCTGTTACATGTTGTGGAGTGGGTGGGGCTGCTTCAGCACCAGCGTTAACTCACAGGTGTTCCTTCTCCAGGCGGTCCCTTCCCCTGCATGCCCAGTCCCCACACGCTTCCTGTCCCCAGCCTATTTGGACAGCATCTGAGGAGCCACCCAACCCCACCTTTATTCCCACTCTGAGAGTTCCGGGAGGTAGTGTGCCATCTGGGAGCCAGGAATCACTGGACACTTTCGCCCTAGAAGCTAACACTACAGTTGTTTCCTCTTCTCCCTCCTCCCTTTACTCCTGGGAATGCTGCTGCTTCAACCACCCCAGAGCCTAAGAAGGGTCGCTGTTTCTCGAGATGTTGAGAACTGGTTCTTTCTGGGTCCTGGCTGTCTTGGAAATCTTCACTATCTTAGTGGCAGTCCTGGAAGGATTTATACTCCTTTTGTGAGTTTGGTGGGGAAGGGTAGGGGAAATAGATTGTATTAAAAAAAAAGTATATATATATATATATCTATATATATCTATATATAACATTACATAGAAATAAATCTATGAGAAATCTATCTACAAACATGCCCTGAACTGGGTATCTTCTGTCTTTGATGTCTGTGGATGGGGAGAAGGTTCATTCCCGGTGCACTTGAATGTAAATTGCTGGAAGAAGAGAGCCAGGTACTGTGTATAGAGTCTGGGCCTAGGAGCCCGGGGACCTGGATCCCAGCTGTGTCACCTTGAACAGTCATCTCAGCATTCACTCCGAAGCAGTGGGTGCTTCCTGAGCACTCACAAGTGGTAGGCACAGCACAGGTGACGCAAAGTGATGATCACTGTCCCTGCTTTCAGAAGTTTGAATTTGGCCAGTTCCTTCCTTTTTATAATTCCGGGGAAGACCTAATAATCAGCTTGAATTTTTTGCATCAGAACTCTCAGATCTGCAGTAAGAAGCAGTTGTCAGGCTCCCGTCTTCTACCCAGGGCAGACCTTTCCAAGCAGTGTGCTGGAGGATTGACCTCCTTGTGCTCGTGTGCTGCTGAGTACTGTCTAGAATTGGAAAGTTCTAGAGAGTAAGGGACAGCTGACCTCCAACTTATACATGAAGTGGTTGCCTCCTGAGGCTCCCAGTGTTGGGTGAGCTACTCTCCAGAGCCGGTGCTATTCTTTAGGTGGAAATTTAGAACAGACCTCTTTCCGCTGATCCTGAATATATCAGTCACAGAGTTAGAAAGTGGGGGTGGCATTCTGAGTTTCTGATTAAAAGTGGGCTGGCTAAGCCTGTGGTCTTGAGGGGGCGATGGAAACTTGACAGGACCCTGTTTCCAGAGTTGTCACTTGTTGAGCCTGTTGCTTCTTGATTTGTGGTCTCTAACTCTGAAATAAACCCCTTCCTCCCACATCCTCCACTGTGTAGCAGTTTGTAAATTCCTAGTGCTTTGAACCTGTCCCTTCTTTGGCAAATGCCCCAATTTTTCTCTTGAACTTGGTGCCTCATGTTTGTAAGCTGATTTCAGCTAATTCCTCCATAACTTCCCTGACCTCTCTAGTTCCAGTCTTTGCAGGACAGTTCTAAGTCTAGTGTGCACTGGGGTGGCTCTACCAGATGTAATACCCAAAGGAGGGGAACTATTCACACCCGCAAGTACATGCAAATATAATTTGTCTTTGGTTTACAAAGTTGGGGCTCTTGGCTACCAAAGCATTGTGGGGTAGGAGAGGATGGGATTATTTGTGGCTCAGTTTTTGACCCCTAAGATTGGGTTCAGGATTTAAGGATTCCTTGTATAATCAAACCCAGGGCAACAAAAGAATCTTCCCAACCAAGAATCTTAACCACTACTTGTTGATCTCACATGCCAGTCATCTTAGATGAGCTTAGGACCACTATGGTAAGAGAGAACTTGATTTAAAAGACATTTCTCCAAAGAGGAAATGCAATGGCCAACAGGCATGTGAAAAAATGTTCAACATCCCTTATAATCAGGGAAATGCAAATCAAAGCCACATTGAGATATACCACCTTACACCAGTAAGAATGGCATATATCAAAACAACAAGCAACAACAAATGGTGAGGATGTGGTGAAAAAGGAACTCTCCAACATTGCTGGTGGGAGTGCAAACTGGTCCGACCACTATGGAAACCTGTCTAGAGGTTCCTCAGTCTACTAAAAATGGAGCTATCATATGACTCAGTAATTCCACTCCTAGGGATTTACCCAAAGGACACAAAAAAACATTGATTCAAAAGACCGCCTGTACCCCTATGTTTATTGCAGCACTATTTACAATAGGTAAAACCTGGAAACAATCCAAATGTCCACAAATAGAGGACTGGATCAAGAAAAATGTGGTATATATACACAATGGAATGTTATTCAGCAATCAAAAAAGATAAACTCATGCCATTCGCAGCAACATGGATGGAACTAGAAGGAATTATGCTCAGTGATATAAGCCAGAAGGAAAAAGAAAAATATCAGATTGTTTCACTTTTAGCAGGAATATAGGAACCAAATAAGACATCAGTGTAAAAAAAATAACAGTACAAAACACAACAAAGCAAACCAGACAATTATAAATCAGAAACATCCTGCAGGGGAGGAGGAGGGAGAGGGGTTAGAGGGAGGAGCACAGGGGACTGAGGTGATGGTGCACAGGTGTATTGGTGAAGGAAACAGGACTATACCTGAGGGAGTGGGGACAAGCAAATATTGTTTAAAAATGAACAATGATGTAAAAATATTAAATAAATAACTTTCTGAGAATTCAGAATTCAAGCATATCAAACAGATAATACTTAAAAGATGAAACCAAAGTTTCTGAAGTGGAAAATAGCAACTGAAGTGGTATACATCTTTACGTACAAGAAGAGCAGAGACAATGTCTACAGTAGTTTATGAAGTCTTGTTAAAAGAGGGATGACAGGGCCCTCCTGGTGGGGCAAGGGGTTAAGCACTGCACTCCAATGCGATCTGCCACTTCTGCAGCACAAGTTCGATCCCTGGCCGGCCAGGGAGCAACCCATATAGCACAGCAGACCTCTCCTGACTTGCCCACTGCTCCCCTCAGCAGTGTATTTTGGTCAATCTGCCTGTTCTGTTCCCCACTCTGTCTCCTGTGGATCCCTCACCCCCCACATCTCTGGCCTGTACCCCAGCTCTTGTATGAACAAATAAGTAAATCTTAAAAATATTTCATTTAGGGCCTCCCCTGGTGGCGCAGCGGTTGAGCGCTGGGCTGCGAAGCTACCCGCAGCCTCCGCTGCGCTGGTTCGATCCCCGGCCACTGGCGAGGGTCCTACATGGCGCAGACCTCTCCTGCCGCCCGCTGCTCCCCTCAGCAGTGTATTTCGTCACTCTGCCTGTTCTGTTCCCCGCTCTGGCTCTGGTGAATTCTCTCACCCTCCCGTGCTTCTGACTGTACCCAGTGCTTGTATAAATCAATCAATCAATCTTTATATATATATATATATATATATATATATATATATATATATATATAAAATTTAAAAGAGGGATGACAAATTCTCTACTTAGGTGAATCTTCCAACATGGATAGATAGTAGAGAGGGGCAAGCTCCAGCACTGTATTAGCTATCTGTTGCTATATAACCAATTACCCCAAATGTATTATCTCAGTTTCTATGGTTCAGAAATCTGGGCACTACTGAGCTGCTCCAGGGTCTCTCAAGGCTATAATGAACTTGTTAGCTAGGATCATATCATCTCCAGGTTCAAGTGGGAAGAACTTGCTTCCAAGCTTAGTGATTATCAGCAGGATTTACTGTCTCATAGGTGGTTGGACTGAAGACCTCATTTCTAGGCTGAGTGTTGGTCAGAGGTGCTCCTGTCAGAGCAGGAGAGACTACACCAGAGAGACCACACCAGCAAAGTGAAATCACAATCTTGTACCTTATCATGGGAGAGCAAACCCATCACTTTTACCAGTCACCAGGTACTAGAGGCTGTCAGAAGGCAGGGACAATAGAAACCATGTCAGACATTTGCTGTCATAGACTGTTCCTGTGGGCCACAACATCAGATTTGTCAGAGGAACCTTTGAAAATGGCATATTCATGCCTCCCTGGTGGCACAAGGGGTTAAGCATAGCACTCTGAAGCTATTCCCAGACTGCAGCACAAGTTCGATCCCCAGCTGGCCGGTGAGCTACCCACCTAGCACAGCAGACCTCTCCAGTCTTGCCCCCTGCTCTCCTCAGCAGTGTATTTCAGTCAGTCTGCCTGTTCTGTTCCCTACTCTGTCTCTGGTGAATCCTCTCACCCCCTGCACCTCTGGCCTGTACCTCAGTTCTTGTATGCATAAAGAAATAAATCTTTAGGAAAAGAAAATGCCTATTTCTGGATCTCACTCCCACCCCAGTTCCTATTGAATGAAAGTCAACAGGGTGTGGACTGGGAATGTGCCTTCCTGGCCCTCATTGACTCAGTATTAAGCGTGAATTCCCATTTTTGTAAAAGATAGTGCTAGCTTGCTTCACCTGAAAGGGTTCCTACTGCAGGGCTTTGGAGGAAAGTAAGGGCGGGCCAGGGCCCCCATAAGTAAAGGCGAGATTTTGAGGGCAGGATAAGGGGGAGAACTTGTCCTGTCCTTTGAGGTTCTTAAGTATATGGTTATGTAATTAAACATGTGATAAGTGCTAGGAAGTATGGGGTGAAGTGAAATCATTTAACAGGGGCCTTACATCTTGCCCTGAGTCAGGAAAGCCCTTCCCAGGGATGTGACCTTTAAACTGAAACTAGAAGCCTGAGTAACTTTTAGCTTGATAAAGAGGAGGGCGGATGAGCATCTTGTGGGGGCAGAGAGAAGGAAAAGCAGGGTGAAGGCCTGGAGGCACCAAGGTTTCATCCTGTGACCCACTGCCTCTCCTTTAATATGAAATATTATTTGGGGCATGGGACAGAGAATACAGCCCTATACTTTAACTTACTGTTCCTTTGTCCATTCAGTCATTTGGTAAATATATCTTTTTTTTTTTAAAGGAGATAATAGACTTTATTTTATTTTATTTTTAAGATTTACTTATTTATTTATTTTTTTAGCACTGGGTACAGTCAGAAGCGCAGGAGGGTGAGAGAATTCACCAGAGCCAGAGCGGGGAGCAGAACGGGCAGAAGGACCGAAGTACACTGCTGAGGGGAGCAGTGGGCGGCAGGAGAGGTCTGCGCGCCATGTGGGACCCTCCTCCGGTGGCCGGGGAGCAGCCGGGGATCGAACCAGCGCTGCAGAGGCTGCGGGCAGCTTTGCAGCCCAGCGCTCAACCGCTGCGCCACCGGGGAGGCCCATAAGATTTATTTATTTATTTATACAAGCACTGGGTACAGTCAGAAGCGCAGGAGGGTGAGAGAATTCACCGAGCCAGAGCGGGGAGCAGAGCAGGCAGAAGGACCGAAGTACACTGCTGAGGGGAGCAGCGGGCAGCAGGAGAGGTCTGCGCGCCATGTGGGACCCTCCTCCGGTGGCCGGGGAGCAGCCAGGGATCGAACCAGCGCTGCAGAGGCTGCGGGCAGCTTTGCAGCCCAGCGCTCAACCGCTGTGCCACCGGGGAGGCCCTTGGTAAATATATCTTGACTGAACTATCTGAATACAGGGTTTGGGTGATTTTTGTCTTTTTGCCTGACTTCTAATCCTTCCACATAATTGCTAATAATAAAGGCTGGTATTTACATTAATATAATATTGAAAGTTATTAGATGCTTACTATTGTTAAACTAATATTTTCAATGCTTTTTATAAACTTATTTCATTTACACAATAACCTGCTGAGTCTGACATCATTAATATCCTCTTCTCAAGATGACAAGATAGCTACAGAAAGGTTATGTAATTTGCCCAGGGTTACACAGATTATATGGTGGAGTAGCAGCCCCACCCCATCGCTCCCTTACTTCTGTTCAGAATGCATGGAGTAACTATCTCAAAAAAGTAAAAGGTAACAGCAACCAGAATTCAGAATTCAAAAGAGACCAGAATTCACAGTTTCACAAAACCAGTGGTGGGGTTGCCATTTCCACCCTCCAGTATTGCCCAGTGTGAATTCAAAGGCAACCCGAGCCCTAGAATACCTGAGGTGTAAACTGAAAGAGCTCTAAGAGAAGCCTTAGTGCAGGTGCAGGGAGAAGGAAAGAGACTCCGAAGATTCAGAGAGTGAGAGCGAAGAGGATCCCGTGTCCTTTTTTCTTTTTCCCTTCTTCGACCTTCAGCTTCTGGCAGCAACAGTGGCTGCACAGGGTCTTACGGGAAAAGAACTCTACTCTGACCACAGGACCTGCTCCAAGAGTGTGAGGCAAATCCTCTCTGCTTTTTTCCTCTGTTCTCTTGATGTTTGGTTCAATAAGAGGAGAGAAACTAAAGTCTAAACTTTCTGGCAAGAGAAATGGGAAGGAAAACCCCAGGGGAGGAGGGAAATGAAGAGACAGGCCCGGTTAGCTCCAGGGCTCATGTCTGAGTTGCACAAGCCTGGATTGGACCCTGGACAGCTTTGTGACCTGAGCTGCAGGCTGGCCCACCACTCAGGTCTGGCTGGCCACCTGGTGACATACATGCAGGACTGACCCCAGTAACTGCGCACACTTGGGGAATTAAACTGACATTAGAACCATAGTGCAGAGGAGCCTGGTTGCTCTCTGAACCTAATTTGCTCAATAGCCTACCAATACCATAAAGGAGCATTCTCTTTAGGATTTTAGCAAGAACCAGAGTGACAAAATGATATTCAAAACATCCAGGATACAATCAAAATTTACTCAGCATACAAAGAACTCTCCAGGGAGAAAACAACTGATTCCAAATGACAGGTGTCAGGATTTTAAACAAAGACTTCAAAGCAGTATGTGGAATATACTTCAAGAAGAAAGGGAGAACATAAACAAATGGAAAGACAACATTTTAGCAAAGAAATAGAAGATATAAAGGAGAACCAAATGGAAACTTGAAAACTAAAAAAATCACAATAATGTAAATAAAATAGTCACTGGATGGGAGAATGGAGATGACAGAAGAAAAAGAGTGAGTTTGAAATAATCAATATAAATTGTGCAATCTGGATAACAGATAAAAAGAAAAAAAGATCAGAATCCCTTGGGATCTCTGGGAGAATACCAAAAGGTCTCACATTTAGGTCAATGGTCAATTGGTCTCACAAGAGCCCAATAAGTGAGAGGGGAAATATGGCTCAGAAAAATTATTACAATATATCACAACGAAAAGCTTCCCAAATTTGCCAAGACAAATACACAGATTCAAGAAACTTGGTGAGCAGCAACAGGATATACTTAAAAGAAAGCCATATAGGGCCTCCCTGGTGGCACAAAGGGTTAAGACGCAACCTATGAAGCTATCGGTAGCCACTGCAGCACGAGTTCCACCGAAGGTGGCACAGCAGACCTCTCCTGACTCACCCGCAGCTCCCCTCAGCAGTATATTTCAGTCACTCTGCCTGTTCTGTGTTCTGTTCCCCACTCTGTCTCTGGTGAATCCTCTCACCCCCCCAAACCTCTGGACTGTACCCCAGTTCTTGCATGCATAAATAAATAAATCTTAAAAAAAAAGAAAGCCATATCTAGACACATCATAATCAAAATCAT